CTAGCGAAAAATGTCAGAATCATGAGATAAAAAAAACGACAGGAAGTGTGTGTAGCGAAAGGAAGTGTGTGTAGCGAAAGGAAGTGTGTGTGGCGACAGGAAGTGTGTGTGGCGAGAGGAAGTGTGTGTGGCGAGAGGAAGTGTGTATAACGACAGGAAAGCCCAATCCCAAACCATGTCCTACAACCTACCCCTCCGTTCGCGCGGAGGGTCCGCCACATTAAGTGCTGTTCCAAACCAACGAGTGTGGAGCGGTGTGGAGGGTGAAAGATGTTTGGAGTTTTATTTTAGTTATTAATTTACATTTTTTGTCTAAGAGATGCTGATTTGAAACCGTTGTTACATACAGTTACGGCATTTCCTGTTTCTGCCGGAGAGAGGGGAGGCCGTCCCAAAGCTTGCCGCTGTATTTACTCCCTCCATCTGACAGGAGGGAGCCTCGTTGAGCTGCGAGTGCCCCTCCACGGAGTTCACTACCTCACGGAGGGGGAGTGTGTAGGGGTAGGGTGTGGTTTGGGATTGGGCCGAAGTGTGTGTGACGACAGGAAGTGTGTTTGACGACAGGAGGTGTGTGTAACGACAGGAAGTGTGTGTAACGACAGGAAGTGTGTGTGACGACAGGAAGTGTGTGTGACGACAGGAAGTGTGTGTGACGACAGGAAGTACCTCCTTGCTGTTGGCCTCCGTGTCGGGGTTGGAGGTCTCTGTGGTGGTGGAGGAGCTATCGTCGTTATCCGCCCCGTTTTCTTTCAGCTCGTCTCCCTGAGGCTTCACCAAACTCTTCTTCTCTTTCTCCTCCTTCTTCTTCTGGGCTTTTGTTTTCCCCCGCAGCTTCCCTTTGGAGTCCAGTACTGCAGACAATTAAATAACACCTTTAAGTACCTGTGAATTACTACAGAAGACTTCTACTCCCTACTCTGTAATGAAGACACATATGAGTACATTTACAGTGTACAGAAAATATATTTTAGGGTAGGATCTGGGCTTATTTTACGTTGATTTAAAGTATCCGTGTTTGTTCCCGTCTGGTTCTTGCACCTTCCCTAAATATATAATTTCACTCATTATTTAAGCTTAAAAAATACTTCTGCTTTATCCATTTCAGTAGACAGGTGCACAGAAAAGGGACAAGTTGCACAACAGTTGCAAATAAGCTTGTGCACATCTGCCAATTTGCAAAACATATGTATTTATATTCATAGGCAACGTTCCCAACATTCATCAGGCAAATACACACATTTAAATAACAAAAATAAACTACACATTTGCAAGAAGGAAAGCGTGCACGGGCTGCTTTGCAACTTCAGATTCATTGGTTATGATCTCAGCTCTTAGAAGTCTTGATAATGTATTAACATGTCATTTCATAATGTAGATTCCCGGCTTGTGTCTTAATCAAAACGTCCTTTTGGTTTGAATGTTTTTTTGTAAAGCACTTCGAACAGTGTTTCCGCCAGACCAGGGCTGAGAGGGCGTCCACCCCGAGAGCGAGTGACGTCGTGTCACGTGACCTGAATTTGAATTGAGACGTCCCTTATAGATACTATCTTTTTACGTATTAGTTAGTGATGGAAATTCCGGCTCTTTTTAGTGAGCCAGATCATTTGGCTCGGCTCACTAAGAAGAGCCGGCTCTTTCGGCTCCCAAGCGGCTCTTCATGTTACCACAGTTTACCAGAGCCTCAGTTTCGCCGCTGCGAGGCGCTCGCAGTTCACGCGCCGGCAGGACACTTTCTGTCACAGGAACACGCTTTGCTGGCGACGAAAATAATCCCACCAGACTCCTTCGCCCCTCCAACAGAGGGATGTCCTTTTCCTTTTTTTTTCGGACGCCCTCGGCTCGAGTTCAGGGCGTTCAAATGACGGCAAGACGCCCCCCTGGCGGAAACGCTGACTTCGAAGCAGTCTTGTTGTTAGAATGTGCTACAAACAAAAACTTAACTGATACAGAAATTATATTTGACTTAGTTAGGGACTTTAACAGAAACATTGTTGTCTTTTGTTGTGACCAGTTTCGTCTTTTACTGATTATTTAATTCTGTACCCATGACTCAGTTAATGTAGTCATAACTAAAACTCCTCTAGCTCCTTTTGATCGGAATAATCTTTCTCTAATGGCGCATTTCCACTGCAGGGCCTCGCACGGCTTAGTACGGTATAGTTAGGCCTTGGTAGGCCAGGCTCACTTTATGCTGTGTTTCCATTACAGTTTAGGAACTGGGGAAGTAACTATAGTAACGCAGTGTAGGCGGAGCCGTGACGTCATCTTCAATGAGAACCACAAAACCAACATCAGCCGTTAGC